AAAGGATTTTTACCTTGACCAGCATCCAGAACATTGTTCATATTTTAGTCACTACCTAATTCTATACCAAGATGGTACCTGGTAGCACCTGAGAAGAGGTGGAGCTAGAAGGGGTTCCGTCGGATGTGTGTGTTTGAGGGGTTCACCCCAAAACACAGGGCAGCAGCAGTGATACTCTTAGGTAGAAGGTTCTTACTAACCTGATTCTTCAGCTGCTACTATATTAACAATAAACTGATAACATAATTACAATATTTTAAAAATTCACACAAAAATATTAAGGTAAAATAGGACAAACAGAATTCATGATAGATAGATAGATAGATAGATAGATAGATAGATAGATAGATAGATAGATAGATAGATAGATAGATAGATAGATAGATAGATAGATAGATAGATAGATAGATAGATAGATAGATAGATAGATAGATAGATAGATAGATAGATAGATAGATAGATAGATAGATAGATAGATAGATAGATAGATAGATAGATAGATAGATAGATTCTTTTTGGTGCATTTTGTGGTCTACAAACTGCATCAATACAGAAGATATTTTTAGGAGTAGACTGAGATCTTTCTAAAAAGACAAGCAACTAGCAAATGTTTCTACAGATTTAAAAAACATTTAAAAAAGAAAGATTTTGATAACTCAGGAAAGGATAAAAATAAGATTCTTACCACACCAAGTTAAATAGCCATTTCAAAAACAATGACATAACAGGGTAATAAACTCCATTTTGTGCCTGATTTTATATGTGGATAAAGGGATTTTAAAACTACAAATGAGAGCAAAGACCAGCAATTTCAGAGTTTTTTCCTGAGAGGATTGATACTGTCCATGTACCATAAATCTCTGCATTAAGAGAATAGCGAGAAACAGTCTCTGAACTGACACGTTCAAGAAACTATTACTCTACCTAAAGGCAGTTAAAAGGCCAGTTCACAAACAAGATAGATTTACCTGATAAAATGTGTCTATTCAGTAAGCTGCATTTTTCTCTTTTATTGATTTTTTCTTCCCTCCCACTGTTGCTCTTTTATTCCACAGGTGAAAGAGGACTGGAAGTACGTTGCCATGGTTATTGATCGGATCTTCCTGTGGATGTTCATTATTGTGTGCCTGCTTGGAACAATAGGCCTCTTCCTACCCCCATGGTTAGCTGGTATGATTTAGCTTTTTGTGTGAAAGTTTGAAAAGAAGGAGAGAAAAAAAATTACAGCGCAAATCCAATTACAGTTTTTACTAGATAGTACAACTTTTATGAGCTCAGAATTCCCCTTGCTTTACTAAGAATGTTAAGACAACCTACTTCTTTTTCAGTTTTCCTTCTGTTATTTTTAATCTTTGTAGTTCTATTGGCAGCTATGGGATCTAACATGCAGTTTTTCAGATTTATTAAGTGATTATTGTGAAGATTTGACACTGCGGTTTAATGGACTTCACTGCAGCAGACTAAATATCAAAATGCTAACAATATGCTCTAATAAAAATGGATGCTGAGTTAAATCAGTATTGAGATGTAACTAAAAATAAACATGTGAACCTTTGTGTTTGTAAAACATCAAATTCTGTAACAGACCATAATCTTTGACCTGAATCAGTTAAGTTAAATACATTCAAGGTATCATTACTGTTATGAAACATTGGATGTGTCCGCCCTAACTCCTATATCCCTTAATCACTAAATAGAGCGCGGACTATATAGTGGACTTTATAGTGAACTCAAATAACCGTTCGGACAGATGATCCTTATTTTTCGCTCCCCATTGGTCACCTAACTCTGCCTCCCCGCATGGTACCTGCACCATCTTTGTTATTTGTACCTGACAGCGGGCCGCTATGACAACACATCCCATGATGCTTTGCAAGGAGAGCTCCCCTTGCAAAACATTCCAGGACCATGGATGATCATTACTTTTTAAAGTGCATTGTAAGAAATTTCAAGTCCACTACTTTTTCATCCTCTAGACCAGGCATCCCCAAACTCGGTCCTCGAGGGATGCTGTCCTGCAGGTTTTAGAGGTTTCCCTGCTCCAGCACAGCTGATTTTAATTGAAAGCTGATTAACAGGATTCTGCTCTACTGCAGTTATTATAATCAGCTGTGCTAAAGCAGGGAAACCTCTAAAACCTGCAGGACAGCGGGCCTCGAGGACCGAGTTTGGGGATGCCTGCTCTAGACATTCAGACAGTCATCTAAAATGGTGTAACGACTATATAGTGCCCTATATAGTGGTTGCAACATTTTAGGGCAGACATTCGGACACAGCCATTGGGTCTGGTTTTCATGTTTAATGTTTAGCTTTTTTTTCCTGGTTTTCTTTTTTATTTCCTTGTTTGCTTCTGTCCATTATTTTTTAATTTTCACCATCTTCCTTTAGCTCTTCCAGTCCACACAGATGTTGATCCCTCTGTAAATTTGATTAACCCTTTCCAACCTCCCAGTGTTAAGACTTTCCCCTCATTTCTGTTTGGGTTCTTGTTATACACCATCATGTTGGTCACTTGTGTTTTCTGAGAGTTTCACAAAACCAGGACAGCAAATTCAGCCGGGATTTTACAGACATCCTAGTGTAATTTAGTGTGGACTCGGTTTCACAAAAGCAGTAAGCCATGAGTTCCTATGGTGATTGATTCTGTGCAGCTAGCCTACTCCAGACCGGGACTACCATCACACTAGTTAATCCTGGGGCCTTAGCTGGTCAGTCAGTGGACACATAGCGATCAGAAACCAGTGAGTTTTATCGTATAGTATATTGTTTTCTTATCTATTGTTTTGTGTGTTTTTTTTTTGTTTTTTTTATCAGCCTATATTAAAACTCTGATAATACAGAAAGACATTTAATAGACTATTGCTTTGTTGTGGGGATTAGAGAAATGGCTGATAAAGAAGCAAAGATGTTGTCAATAAAGTCAGCCAATAAAAGTAGCTCCAAACACACGTCTTCTTTTTCCATGGACCGAATTACATTTTAGATAATAAAGAGTGTTTTTCTGCGGATGACATTTACCACCTCTGCCAACTGCCTTGACGTGTGTACTTGGCTCAGATTTTTGGCTTATGGTATGTTCCTGTATAAGGTAGGAGTTGCTGAGAATCTTAGCAAATGTATTGTTTGCTGCACCCTCAAAAGTGTTCAGCATTAGAAGAATCAGCACATCCTCCTAACCTTACCTAGCCACAGATGAATGACTACATCAAGGAGGGACTCAATAGCATTGAAGGTAAAATAAATTAGGCTACACATAACAAGAGAAACCTTGGAACAGCTGAACTACTTTCATTTCTGATCAAGGACTTCCTAAAGCTATCGGTGTCCTAGACTGTACACACATTAAAATAAAAAAAATAAAAGAGTGAGTTATGTTCAGGCCTGCCAACCACATACATGTGTTACGTGGAATAAATTACCTAAACGCATCATAAGTTTAGATGATCTTCAATGCTGACTGCATTTTCAGGAACACTGAGGAAAAAAGGCTTTTCTCGCTTCATGTATGATGTGTTTCAATTTCTCCTAATCCTCGTATCATAATATGTTCCTCATTTGATGTGAAGTATAGGGCACACAACCTCTCCAAAGTAACATTAGTGAATCTTTGACCAACCTCACAGTTGCTTTAAGAAAGGTACAGATGGATTACTTACCCCAGGTTTGACACGGTCGCTTTTTGAAAAAGTGAACCCAGACTGTACTTATCAAGCTAGGTCAAGCCTGTGAAGCCTGTAGGATAATCCATGATATCTAATATCATGGATTATCCTACATTTGTGTAACAGCCCTCTGGTGGTTTTGTAGTCTTATATTAAATAAATAAATCTGATGTTTCTAATTAACAAAATCAGAGAAAACATGACATTTGGTATGAGTGTCGTTATAGAATTTGATGCAATGAATTATTTTTGGTACCAATTTTTATTTGTGTTCAACAGAAGCAGCAGTCAGAAATTAAATTGGACAAAAAAAAAACATACTTTCTGCATACTTAGTTTAGTCAACTACTCTCTAATATCAATATATTCTAATGTTTTATTTGCCTTTACAACATAAGTTTGGCATTGTGAGTGTTTTGCTTGTTTGTCTTTTTCTTCCTAATGTTTTTTGTTTAAAAGCTTCAATAATTAAACTATTTTTTGAATGATCATATGAAATAATGTGTTTTGGGTAATATTTTTATTGGCTTTTTCTGGGTGTCATACTCATGTTCAATACTGTGCTTCTTAAGACATCTTTGATTTACTTTAGCATGTTTTCAAATTTGATATTTTAAAAACATTTAAAAACTTTGTCACTCCCTAAAAAAATTATTAGAAGCAGAGGGAGAGACAACAAATTAGTGAGTTAATATATCAAATGCAGTATAAATAGACAGATATTTCATGCCAGCATGGTCTAAGCATGTATAGGTGTTTATTGTAACTGATAAAATATATTCCAGATTAAAACTCCTTTAACATGGCAGAAGTTTGCTTTTCTTTGAGTATGGATGATAAGTGGGGGCTACAATGCAAAAACCATCTAGGATAAAGTAAAGATTCTTAAATTGAGTGTATTTACCCTTATTTTTTAGTAGATATATAAGATAATTTGCCAATGGAATTAGTATTTTTACTCCTAAAACAAGATAATTAGATAATATGCACTTGAAATAAGACAAAGCCTTTTTTTTCTTATTTTAAATGTAAATTGTTTTGTTTCATTGGTAAAGTATCTCAATTACCTCCTCAATTCAAGAAAAAATGCACTTAATTTAAGCAAAAATGACTCATTTAGATTTCCATTTTTTGCAGTGTATATAATATGGATTGGTTATCACCTCTTTAGAAGTAGTTCAAAACATTTGAACAATTGCTTTAACAAACCATTTTGGCCACAAATGTTAAGCTGCTAAAGCTTTAGGTAAGTTTATTTTGTTGTTGTTATTTACATGTCACATGTGATATAAGCTGTTAATTATTTTGTATTTTGAACATTAATCACAGGATTCTTAATGTATTTACAAAGATTTTAATTGAGTGTCCCAGCTCAGCTGTGGCAGCAGTTTAAACATCGCTTGGATATTAAATCAATGCTCCTTAAAGCTTCTTTTACAGGACTTTCTTTTTTAATATATCAAATGTCAGTGTGCATATTTGATTTTCCTCTGACAATATCACTGAGCTAATCAGTAGTATCAAATGCATGTATATCATGATGGTTTTCCAAAGAACCAGAGGATGCAGCTGGCTCATGTTTATCAAAACCATACTGCCTGATGAGGTCAAAGTGTTATTTTAAACAAACATAAAAAAAACTCATTTAAACAAAAAAAGCCGATCACTCTGGTTCAGCTGGCTTGGCTAAATTAGCCCTGACTCTTGCTTGGTCCACAGCATCTAACATATTCTTGCTGTCCATGGCCAGAGTGTGTGCGGCAGCCAGCATCTGTTTCTTGCACTCCTCCTTTAATGTTGTTATGGCGTTCTGCTGGGCCAGGCGCATTTTGCTGATCAGCTCAGCCATGTCATTGTTCAGCAACTTCTGTGTTCCTTCAATCTAAGGTAGCAGTAAAAATAAAGGACTAGATTAGAGCAATTAAACATTGGCCTCATTTATCAGCTTTATTTATAGAGCACTGCTTCTGTGAATACAAGGTAGCAAAACTAGTGTTCAAAACTGCTTTTCTTGTGCTTGATAACCCACAGTATGAGATACTGTACCTCAGTTATGACTGACTCATGTAAAGTGGGTAGTACGTCATCCACACTGTGAATCAGATCTCTTAAGGCCATCCCAACAGACTGTGAGCACAGATCAATAAAGAAAATGAATTAACAGTATGACTCAGGAGGTTTTTCTCTACATTTTAAATTAGCCAATAAAACAGCAACAGCTGACAAATTGGAGGTGAAGGAGAGGTAATTTGTCTCAGCTTACCTTGACAAGGGTGATGTATTGTTCTGGCTGCAGCTCAGTGATGTCGTTTTTGAGTTGGACAACAACTTTCACCAAGTTCATAACGTGGTGGTATACTTTATCATCAGTGCGGTCAATCTCTGCTGTGGGAGCAGCCTAGAGGGGAATTGTAATCGTTATGGAACCCATTGCCCTCACAGTAAGCAGGAAAGCTTATTATTTAGTCTGCTTCCAGAAAAAAATGTAATAATTTTATTATTTTCTAACTACCTGTGCTTTGAGTCGTGGGGGTTTTTCAGGCGGTGCTATGTGGTAGGAAAGTTCCATTACACACCAAAAAAAGGGAAACAGAGTTGAACATACTGCAGTAAGTTTTTCTTGGTGCTTACCATTTTCACTTTCAGCTTCAATTTGCTACAAGGGGAAAACAAATAGGCATACATGAGGACCACAAAATTATATAAGGTAAAATAGAACAATCAAATATCTCTACCTAATCAGCATCTTATAGTTAGAAAAAAGCAATAAAAAAGTTGTCAATTTTTTGTTTTATGGTTGAATCGATACTAATCAGCTCATTGAATTAAAACACCCCTATAAGCAGCAAAAAGTCATTAATAAGCTGATTTATCAGAGTGTTGTATCCAGACATGTTCATAGAAAGTTAATTGTAAGGATAAACTGTCAAGAAGATGCCCCAGCATAGAAACAGTCACATTGAGAAAATTTTGAAGCAGTCCATTCAGGAGTTTTTTAAAGCTTTATAAGACATAAACAAGTCCATGCATCAAGTGCCACTATGCAAACAGAATCACTAAAACAGGGCTACAGGTATCTTACCCGGGCTTCGTATGAAAAAGAAGTAGACTGTGGTTCAGTGTTTCAAAGTCCTCATTTCAGATACAGTAAGTTAATGATGCATTTTATTTTGAAATTAAGGTTGAAGAGTCTAGAGGAAGAGAGGCAACCAATGTTGTTTGAAATTGTATGAAGATGGTGATTCCATTTTTCAGCAGGACTTGGTATTGCCCACACTGCCAAAGGTGCCAGAAGCAGGTTGAATGAATATAGTGCTACAGTGTTGGATTGGCCAGCAAACTGGCCTGATTTAGAATAGAAAATCTATTGTGTTTTATCAAGTGGAAGAAGACAGACACATTAGACCTGTCAATACAGAGGAGCCAAAGGTCTGTCATCAAAGCAACCTGGGCCTCCATAATATCAACAGGGCCACAGGCTGGTCACACCCATCCCATACTCCATTGATAGAAAACGGGCTAACAAAGTATTTTAACAACCTTTTCGTCATACTTCTCTTCAAAAACCATACTTTTCAATAATCACGCAATATTTAAATTTCCTTAGACTTTGATTTAACAGGTTTGACATATTTTACTCTATAAAATAAATGTGTATATATAGAAATTTCACTTTTGAAAAGAGGGACAAAAGATATTATCTATGCACGAAGAATAAAATATCTGAAAGCATCTTAAGAAACCAGCTACCTGCTGTAAGGTTCTTTGAAAAATGTTCACCTCTAATGAATTACCTCAATGTATTCATTTGAATTTTATTTGGAGAGGAGAGATATAAAAACTAGAACATAAATATAATATGGAAGGAGAGTTTGTTTTACCTGAATGTATTTTAAAATCATCCCTCTTTACTCTAGTTATCCATAACACAGGTCAATAATAAAGTCTTTCATATGAGTAAAGTAGGGTTAGAAAACTATCCTTTAAGTTTGAACTCCCACCAGAGCACAGCTCACTACATCCTCAAACATGAAAAACTACACAACACTTCAAAACTCAGGTGGGATAGTCTTTAGAAAAGACAACCCTTATTTGTATATACTACTCATGTTAACTGTACGGAAGAGTGTCAAAGGCAAAAGCCATCCAAGAAGCACCTGTTTTCACTTTGACACAAGCAATATAGGGGCCAGATCAAGCATGTGGTATAAGATGCCTTAATAAATATCAATGCTTAGCCTTTGGGTTAAATATAAAACACTATGTAGGGTAAAAAACTAACAGCACATTAGCCTAAATACAAAATCATTGCTGTGAAACGTGCTGGCATCATACTAGTGTGGGGATGTAGGTACAAGTGCAGAAAGCTACTCGGTGTCACAGATTTGCACTTTTTGGTTCTGTTTAAGTTTTCTTTTTGACTTTTCATATGTTTAATTTCCATTTGTTGGTGTTTTCAGGTTGCATTTGAGTTCTACATATTTCTTGGTTACCCTCTGTTGCCTTCTTGTGTCAGCCTCCTTCTCCTAGCTCCCTTCTACATTCTTCTGTCCACACCTTCTCCCAATCAGCTGATTAGCCTAATCTGTGTTTAGTCTCCCATTTATACTCCTCCTCTTCAGTTACTGTTTCCTGGTTCGTCATCATTTCTGTGCTCCTCATGTGTGTTTCCCCTGACATCTCCTAGATTTAGTTTTTTTTATATATTTCGTTTGTGGACTTTTGCGTCTGTTGCCCTTTGGATTATTAAACCTGCCAGAAAACACTTCAACTCCCATCTTTGCTCTTGGGTCCTTTTAAAAACCTCCACTCACCCTTACAGTCAGTTGATGTATAAAAGCTAGGTGTAAACGAAAAGCTATAAGATGATACAGAAGTCTTCAAACCAGGTTTCACCTTCTAGTAGGAAAAAAAAAAAACTCCTAGACAGAGCCACAATAAGATAGTTTAGATCAAAGCACACCCAGTGTTAAAACGCCCCAAACGTGAAATTAAAAAGTGAAACTCGGCTGTGGTTTTCGGCACACTATCCGATATTTTGAAAAGACATGCAAATCTGGAAGAGATGTAGGCCTACCCTAAAACACTTGCAGGTATCTTTTCACCAAAAAGTAATTTCTCTTTACAATTATTTATTTCTATTTACAATTATTTATAATTTAGCATTGGTGAAGTAAATCTGGTTACTTTAGACTACCTGCTATCGTCTTTTAGTTTCAGTAAAATCAGATTTTGTACATATAGGTACCTACCCCTGGATTTAGAGTGTTATCTTGTCCCATGGGGTCCTGCAAGAGAATAGGCAGGTTCATTTTACACATTAAAGACATGGGGCCTCTCTTTTGAACTGTTATAAGAGGAACATTCAATTGGACATTAGCGGGACGTTGAGGTTGAACAAGAGTTTTGATTATGCTTAAAGGTGCCATGTTCCGCTCAGGTTCCAGGTTAACACTGAATTGGTGACTAGAGGGACACAGGGACATAGAGAGGGAGTGGACAAAAGTTAATGATGCTCTGTTTCCCACCAGGAGTTTCTCCTCCTTCTCAAGCCACTTCTTATCCTCCATCATTTGCTCTTTCTGCAGCCGTAGAGTGTCTTGCATGTGTCGCCGTTCCTTCTGCCACAGCCGCTGGGCATCCTCCCTGTTGTTTGGATCCATTCGGAGAAACTCGCCCTCCTAATTTAGAAGTTTTACAGTGTATTTGAAATCTAGAATAATGACAATTATAGTATGACAGCAGTTTTGTTACAAATGCATTCAAAGCTCTTACCCCAATGCTGCGCCTACGAGGTGACCTAACGGGCAACGCAAGTGTGTTTCTGGAGTCAACTGGGGATTGGTATTCACAGGGGCTGGCCAGGTCAGGAGAGCTGGCACACAGAGCTTCATTCAGCTGCACAAACACACAACAAATCAGTTAGAATGTAAATGCCCTGTAAATTTTTAAGGTTTTTACCTGAACTTGCGTACCTGAATATGTAGACCAATACTAAGAGTGTTCCCAAACCGGCCTGGCTTTGTCCTTGAAGGCTGCAGTAAAGGTGAAAAAGGTAAGTAAATGCCTTTTTTGTATTAGATCACACAAGTGTTCTTATAATGAACACACTGATACTAAATGAAGTGGACGAGGTTTTATACCTTGGGGGGAGCTTCTCCAAAGTTCACCTTTGGTTCAAAAAACTTGGTGGAGCGCGCTCTGTCTCTTTCTCTCTCTATATCCTGCTCTTTCTCCATCTTTTGCACATCACTAAAAGACACATTTGGATCACTTCTTTAAAAACTGACATGTTATTTCGGAAGGAAAATTAAGATCTTTTTTTAAACTATGATCGGATTGACAAATATAACCAAGATCAAATTGACTGCAAATATAAAAGAGGAAACTCAGAGAGTCAATAATGTTAGTTGAGGAAAAGAATCCAAGATTAGACAATGTAAACATCTGCATGGTGAGTTATATTTATTAAAGATTCAGATGACAAAAACTTAGTATCTCAATATGTTTGCACAGATTATCTATTAATGATTGTAAGCTGTCCAGAAAAGACTGGGCTTACTGAATGAAAATACCTACACTTTTTTTCTCTCTTCCTCTGCAAACATGGAAAATATCTTGCAAATGATTATAAGCAAAAATGTTTATAAGCACTGAATCCACGCAGTTGAATTTCCTTTAATATATTTTTCCAATACCTTTTAAGTTAGACTTCAACGAAAACTGTATTAATGTCACACTCTTATACAAACGATTATGCAAATTTTTTAACCCAGAGAATGATGTTGGCTTCCTTCCAATACTTTACTCAAATTTTGTCATTGGGTGGGGGGAATACCTTATCTTGACCACAAGCTCAGTGAAATTTGGTCTCTCTCCGGGATCATAGGACCAGCAGCGCGTCATGAGTGAATAAAGAGCAGGGGGGCAGTTGTCCGGTTTGGGCAATCTGATGCCCTGCTCCAGCTGGTTGATGACATCTCTGTTCTCCAGCCAGAAGAACGGCTGCTGTCCACGGCTCATTATTTCCCACATGCAAACAGCTGCAGAGCAGCACACACAAAATACAACTAAACAAGCTGAAATATTTTCACATATAAAACATAGTATTATTTATATATACATGGAAAGAAAATCAGTGAATGCCCATGAGCTCACCAAACATCCACACATCGCTAGCTGAGGTAAAACGTCGAAAGTTGATGGATTCTGGGGCCATCCACTTGATTGGTAATCGAGTAACAGAAGCTTTAGAAAAAGGAGGCAAAATTATGTTAATTTTTAGATTGCCTTCTAAAATACTGATTGTAAATCAGTATTTTAGAAGGCAATATATTTTATTGTCTGCTGTTACCTTTGTAATATTCTTCATCCTCGATGTATCTCGACAAACCAAAGTCTCCGAGCTTTACGCAGTCAGGGCTTGCAACTAACACGTTCCGAACCGCAATGTCTCTGGAAGCAAGGCAAAAAAAAACAGCAGAGTAGATTGCTACAGAAACAGATGATAAAAGGCCACAAACCTTTGACAAAATGAGGGGGAATATGCATATAAACTAACATTTGGATCAATAAGAAGCTTTGTCCTTAGGAAACACTAATTCATCTTTAGATTAACTGAATCAAAAAGGGGGAAGTAAAATGTTCATAGTTGTTTTGCAAGGGAAAAAGTTGTTTTTTTTGACAATGTTTTGGCTTCATAGAAGCTTTGAGCTGTGAAAGGCTGCATTGCTGCCTGAATCCTATTGATAACATTTGTTTTTTCTGTCAGTAGCTTAACTCACTCAAAGGTTCTGCCTTACAGTGATAAATTTGGTTAAAACAGGCTGAGCCACTCTGCCTCAGAGGGAGAAATCAAATATCTTGCTGTTTTATTTGAGACAGACGTCATTAAAGAACTTTGGATGAAAAGACTGATCTGGGTCTAATCTATAGTATTATTTGCACTTCTCTGGCTAGTAGTAAACATTAAGGGATATGATATAAGGGATATAAAGGCAGATATTTCTGCCTTTTTCTCACCAACTTGGAATATTATCTTTGGGATATGTGTAGTAATCCAGATAACATCAGCTTCCTAGGATGGCTGGCTAAAATAGGATTAGGAGCTCAGAGTAAAACTCCTGATCCACCACATTAAAAGGAAACGGCTGAGGTGGTTAAGGTCTCTAATCCAGATGCAAACTACAAACAGAAATTCTGACACGTATTTTTATCATTTTATCTTCCATTTTATCTTTCTCTTTTGACATGACTGAGAAAACATGATTCTCCACGTTAAAGATCAGCTTTTGATTATATTTGGTGATTGGGCATCAGATAGGACAGATTTATCAATAAAGTTTTTTTTTATTTTTTATTTAGAGATTAAAACTGTTGAAGTTTGGATAAAACCTGTAAGGACTCCTTCAACCTATTCATACGTGTTCTTCTTCAATCGAAGACAAATGTTGAACAGAAGAGGCTGTGGAATGGAACAAGGCAGAGCACACTTTTTTTTTACTTTCTGATGTTGTAAAGTACAGTACTATATATTACTAAGCAAAGTTAAGCCATGGTGCCCTCCACAGACCTAACTGGAATAATGTTTAAATAAACCACTTTTAATGTAACAGGTTCTTTGTTTTGTTTGTTATCATGTCTCTTCCAAGCACCAGATAAATGAAACAGAAACAATTTATAAAAGGAGATCAATATTTTAACATGATAACTTGTGTTTTCCTTTTTTCATTTTCTACCTGGTACCAGGTAGAATTCCTGTAATACCTGTAGTTCTTTTATTCCATATTTAAAGTATGTATAGATAACACACTTGTGAGGTATAAAAACTAAAAATAGACCAAAATGTACATTTTTGGAATATATTTAAAATACTACAGTATGAGCAGGATACCTCAGATGCATATATGTAATACACTGTGAACCACAGTGGTGGCAATCTGATGCTGGGATCAGAGAGAAGAAATCTGAGTCTAGCTGATATATAGATGGATGGAACTAAATTGAAAATAAACCTGTAAGATGCTGCAAAGACTTGAAAAGGGGGCTGCAGTTTAGTTTCAAGCAACATAACAACCCTAAAGATACACCCAAAGCTGCAGTTGGAAGGTTTCAACAAGGCACAGAAAAGCTGAATTGAATTGTGAGTCTGTGGCAAGACTTGAAAAAATATATTTTCTGTAAAATTACTGTAATGAGTTATTTTCAAAAGAAATGTGGTAAAATATTGAACTGTAGCTGTACTAAGGGTGGTTTTACATCTACACTATTAACAAAGGAGCTGAAACGAAAAATGAATGCATTACATTTCGGTTTAAAAAAGACAAAACAAATAAATAAATAAATAAATAAATAAAATGTTTACAAAGGTGATATTACTATGTGTTGGCCTAAATAAATAAATACTTTAAACCTAATACGGTAAATCTTAGAAAATTGAAGACATATTAATGGCTGTAGGAAACTATTTTTTAATAAAATTAACTTTGGTACAATTCTTTTCTTGTCCAGATTTGTGGGTTTTATCCACTGATCTCTATTTATTCACTGAATTAGAAAGGGGTGGAGTGAAGCCACCGGCCGTCATATTGGTACTTCCTAGTTAGACTGGTCACAATGTAAACCATTCGTACGCTACAGCATCGAACAACGATAATGTTCTCATTTTCAGGGGGGCTTAAGAGTTTTAAAATAATGATAAATTTATCACTTTGACACACACTGGCTGTTTCATAGCATAAGTAGATTACTGTAATTTATGATCAAATAAATAGGCACATAACATTGCATGGTCATTATGAAGACAATGAAGTCTATAAATCATGTAATATACAATAACAATAACAATATAAAAATCCATATAAAACCAAATTAATGTGTTAATGGAGCATAATAATATAGAAGTGCCAATTGTGCTACATTGATAGTATACATGTAATATACATGTATTGATGACTTATAATTTCAAGATTTTATATCAAGACTGAATTGCAAGTACATGTCTGTTAATGATATAGTATTTTTCTATTTGCAAATTGTGCATGTATGACACCATATAGTTTTATGCTGTGTCTGTGCATTAGCCTTTAAAATAGTTAGAGTTGCTTTTTTTTTTGTCTATATAACATGCCATATATTTCGGCACTACTTTTTCAAATGAGTAATACAACAAACACTACAAACACGACAGTGTCATCCACTTTATAAAGTATTACTACATTGACATTTCACGGTGAATTACTTTCTATTTACTCTTCTTTCTATTTTCTAACATTAGACACAACTTTGATGGCTAATTCAGTCAATATCTTCAACTCAGTCCGAGATAGCAAGACTAATGTTATGCTGCATAATATACTATGTGTTACATTAGTGTATATATAGATTTTCTTTGTTAGTACACCCACTGACTGTGAAATTACCTGTGAAACGTCTTTCCACAGCCGGCAAACTGCTTGTTTTTGCAGCAAAATGCTACACAAGTAGGCATTTTTATGGCCCGTGGGAGTGGGGAGTAGCAGAATGGCAGCCAGTGGCTTCAGTTTTTTCATGCTATCAGCAATCCAGTGAATAAAGAGAGATCATTGGTTTTATCCTAAATGTTCACCATTTTTTGATGACCTGTCTTTTTTCCTCTTTTATACTGTCTGACATTCATAGAAACGTACTTGCAATCATGTATACAAGTTAAAATATACAAACTGCAAGCAGAGGAGCTTGATGTTTCAACCCTGTGAAGAAGAAACCTGAACGTTTGTTAATCTCTTAATCCTCTCCTCACCTGTGCACCATGTTGCACCCTCCAAGGTAGACGAGGGCTTTGCAGATCTGCAGGCTGAACAGCACCAGGGTTGTGTTAGTCAGCTGTTTTTGGTTCTTAGTCAGGTAGTTACCGAGCTGTAAGGATGTCAATTTTTTTGTTTTACCAGTTAAGTTCACTTATTCATCATTATTGTCGATACAATGATGTTGGATCTAACCAACAGTTTTACAAAGAAGAAATGACTGAGACAAACCTCTCCATACTCATAAAGCTCCATAACGATCCACACAGGATTATCTTCTATGATTCCAATCAGTTTGACAATGTGAGGATGATCAAGGTTCTTCATAATCACTGCAAAGCAATGTTGGTATTTAATCACTCTCTTTCATGTGCACTGCTTCTTCTTTCTGTTATCAACCAATGTTTGCCCTCAAACCTGCTTCGCTCATGAATTTTTCCATCACGTCGGATGAACAATCCTTGCAGGTCTTGACAGCCACGTTAACTCTTTCCCCATTCTGTCAATAAATAATAAACAAACATGCTTTTCATGCTCCTAATATGTATTAGTATGTGTGGTTCAGCATCTTAAAAGTAACTTACGGCTTTTTTGTACATCCCATCGTACACTTCTCCAAAGAAACCCTCACCCAGAATCCGCCCCAGAATTATGTCACTTCTATCAATCCCATATTTCACAGCTACGGGAGGATACAGTTTCATTATTGATTAAAAAAATATAAAAATACTTCAACTGCTTTTCTCTTAAATGAGTACTGAATAACAGCGTCAGACAAACCTGATTTTGGTCTCTCATCAAGGATCTCGCAATAAATATCAGAACCTGAAAAGGCAAATGGAATAAACATCAAGGTATTTATTTACAAAATTATTACATAAGGTTGGAGAAACTGCAGTTTTTGGCTCACCCATACTGTGCCTGGCTGAGCTGCGGTCTCTGCTGCTAAACAGAATAAAAACAACAACATAAACAATGAATCTCTAATACCGGCTCCTCAAAATTGCTAAGACAGAGATCCGGTGAAACATCTCACTCTGTAGGGATGTCAGGTAGGGACGTCCGTACAGGCTTTGGATCTAATTTGAAGATGTTTTAAAGGAAATTTGTTTAATAGTTTACTATTCTTTAATAGTTTACAATTCATAATGAGGTGACTTAGAAAGATGAGCACACCTTTGTTTGGTCGGTAAATGACGCTATCATCTGTGTCTTTTTCCAGTCGACAGTATCCATCAATGAGATCCATCATGTTTTCTGCCATAGGGACCGTAGCCACACTGATAGACAAGCTCTGTTAAGGAAGATTGCATTCAGTGGGATAAAATATCTGAAGTGGATCATTTTCCTAGAACCTTTAGTGTTGTTGTTTTTTGCCGCAGCACTTACTTGTTTGGCGCCTTCAACACTGATGTTTAGGAGCGCCTTGCCATCGCCTTGTGGCAAGCACTGGATTTTCTTTATCTGTTTGAAGTCAGTTAGGAACAGGGCCTGAAAGGAAAAATAAAGGTAGGCTTATTTATGATAAAAAATGCTTGACTTGAGATATAGTTTAAATTTTGGCTGTAAACATGTAAATTAAGTAAATATACATACAGAGGCTTTCTTAGACTATAGTCACAAAGTGCTCCACAGAAAGAAAAATACAGTTATAACATTAGTTTTTTCCTCTCATTATATTCACCACTTTTAGAAATGTATTCTTATTCAGGGAGCTTCTGACTCATAATTTCAAACTTTTGTTTTTTCTTATTTAAAAATGAAAAGACATAAATGTGTTAATAAGAGCTTGCCTTATCTTACACAAGAAGAGATTATTAAATAATGGCCTAGACCTTCCTACCAATGCTGCACACTGATGCCTTATATCAATATTTCAAATCTATTTTTTATAGGTTATCCTACAAGAAATTGACAAAGAAACATCTACAGTAGTTCACACCAGGAGTATTGAGTAGCAAAAACTTTCAAATGGCAGAAAAGAATGAATTAATTTCTCTTTATTATGTATTATTAATTTGAACAAATGCACAGCAAACTTCAAACATTTCCACCATAACTGAGGCACAGAAGAGACATATCTTTAACCCTTTCCTATAAGAATTAAAGGTTAGAGCTCCTGATACAGTGCGTAGATTTTCTTTTACCACCCAACATATATGGTACAAAAAAATCACAAAAGATAATCCTCAAGATTTTCTAAAACATTAAAATGTTGATAATGTACATCACTAATGGACATCAATGACCATGAAAGTCACACTATATTACTTGGTAACAAGAAAAACTTTTTGGATAATTTTGGTAAATGATGTGCTTCAAATTTTTGTCAGACAAGGTAAAGTAAGATATTTTAGATCTCAAACTGTTATTACCAGGTAACTCGTATTCATTTCACCGACAGCAATAATTTAATGTCTTATTATTTAGTAAAATGCTGTTTATTATTTGCCATATAAGAGAAAACAAAACCTAGAAGTCAGCAAGCCAATCTTCTCAGCTAAACTCTTATTTATATGTAACTTGAGTGCGGTTTTATAAAGCTTTATTTACCTAATCATAAGCTACGATTTACTTTGTAAGGCATTGGTACGTGGGGGTCGATAACAGAAACTGTTATGTAGTAACCTAATGGTAATTACCCACCAAATGTCTCCATTCTTACATAGTAACATACAACTGTAATAATTGCATGCAGGTAAATACTTTGAAATTATATACTTAAATTTTGGGGTAATTACCAAATACAGTTTTTCTTGTTACGAAGTAATATAGTGTTACTTGCTATGTTATAACCATGTTATTACATTGTTATTCATGTACTGTAAAACACAGCATTACCAAAATGTTTATAACAACCTGAGAGCAAGAATAAGAAAAAAGCTAGATGTAAGGTATTAAACATCTTAGGAATTGTAGAAATAACTTTTCCCTTACTGCTGAATCTTTCTGAGAACGTTGGCGAATGCCCCTTCCTCCAATGACCAGCTCCACAGACAGACTCCAACCTTGCTGGTAAAGAACAGAGAAGTTTGTGATGCTAACATTAATGGCTGCTAACGTTTTCATTTCATACAGCTTATGAGATTTATTTATTTTTTTTTTGGAGAGGGGCTATATAACTCACCACTAACTCACACGGAAAAACCTCTTCGTCATAGTTGATAAATGTCTTGAAAGTCTCGAAAAACTTAATCATACAGTCATCCTCCTTAAGTGTTGCATACTGTTGAAATGTTTGTTGGATCATCTTCCGTAGCTGCTTAGACTGGATCATAATCACAAACAATTGTTAACATCAAGTATTTCTGTTATGTAAACAACAATCTCATGTGCAGTTTCCTTCAAACAAAGGGCAAGTATTGAAAAAGTTTTACCTTCATGCTGTTTATCAGCTGCTGTGGGAAAAAAAGGTCCAGGCCAACTTCTTTTCTAAAGGACACATACATATACACTTAAAATAAGTACAAATTAAAAACAATTTTAAAAGATTAATTCAGTGCTGGACATAGCTAAAGCGCCATCTGCAACCTTGCAAAACATGTCGTAATACTTCAATCCACAGGTGTATTTTGATTATTTTCCTATTGTTCTTCTTTCCTTAGTTATTTGCTTACAGCTAGGCATTGTTCCTATTGGCTGTTTCTTATTTTATTTTTTATACTTTTAGGTTGTTTCTTTTAAATACACAGCCTGTCATTTCTCCACCCTGCCTCAGTATAAATTCTCTATGTTTTCTTGGTTCCTCACTGGAATCTCCTGATGTTCTGCCATATGATCCATGCTGTTTTCTTCCATTTTCCCTTTATTAAAGAACTTTATATTTGTCATGATCACACTCTGCACACTCGGTTCTCCTTCAATCACAGCCACAGACTAGTATATTTTAAAGTGGCAATAGCTGAATAGGTTTGAATGAATAAAGTTAGAAGTCTAATGTTATGTCATGGTATAAGTTGGTAGTGTTTACAGTAAGCCTTTTAACCCATCTGGGGCTGCAGGTTCTGTAGTTTTTTTACAGCAGTCATCCACAAAAAATAACTTTCCCATCCCTACTTAAGAGAAGCATCTGCACTGCATGACACCTCCGTCACTATACTGTTGCACTCTGCAAGTTTAGCATAAACTTTTGCTCTAATGTTACCAGACCACAACATCTATAACATGTCTTCTGTGTCACCTATTGCCCTTGTGGCAAACGGCAAATGCAACATGAGAAGTTATTTATTTCAACAAATTCCTCTTGCCGCTCTTCTTCCAAGGTCAGATTTGTGGAGTGTAGGACTCAAAACTTTAAGTGATATTTTGCAAGGCACTGAAAATATTTTGTTAGGACTCCTATTTTTCCAAGATAACTGTAATTGTGTAATCTTTTTCCTGACTCCAGATGTTTTATATTCATGTCTCTCTTTTTCTGACTTAAGCAAAATCCTATCGTCTCTTTTATATTATATTATTATACTTAATTCCTTCACGTTTTTTATTTATTAAAATAAATCTATGTGTCTCAAATTCATGACCTTTCTTCTTTGTGCTTTATTCTATCCTAACTAACTAACTAACTAACTAACTAACTAACTAACTAACTAACTAACTAACTAACTAACTAACTAACTAACTAACTAACTAACTAACTAACTAACTATTTAAACAGTCTATAGACAACATTTGTTTAGTCTTCTGCTTAAAATCTCACATATTGATAATCAAGGACCTAATTTAATTTAGCCTTTTTGCTGCTATGTACAAAGCAAGCCATGATCTGCTTTCTAGCAATATACAAAAGAATTTTAATTAAGACAATTACAATCTGAGAGGAGTGTGTTGCGAAGATGTGGTGTCTGCACTACAATTAGAATTCTGGGACTTAGCCAAGCAGGAGTTATGATGTGGAATGGATTAGATATAGAAATAAAAAGAAGTACCACACTAAGGCAATTTAAAAGCTTGTTTAATTATGTTATCTTTCAAAAATATGCATGTAACTCAAACACTTAAATGGCATCATTTCTAACATCTTCGATAAATACTACTAGATGTCTTCTGACTGTTCAAAATAAGAAACTGTATTAGTGATATTGTGCTTAGATTTGTAATGTCTCCTTTTGTCAAAAGACCTTATATGTTAAACGTGATATGAATATTGTAACTGGGGGTACGTTCGTATAAGTTATTGAACTTCTAGCAACCACTTTTGAGCTCTACTAACATGTTTTAGCATCTCAATGTAAATCTTGCTTGTATTGTTGCTCACAGAAATTGGACAAGAAAATCTAATATCTTAGTGACCAAACATTAGGGGAAACAATAAAATTAACATGAACAACTTGAAAACGTATTTCGAACAAGTTGGGAGCCATCTAATCTTAAAAAGAAAATAAACCAAAAAACAGCTTCATTTTAGAACACCTTTAGAACAAAGTGACCACTTACTCTAGCAGCTCAAAGTTAGATTTCTTTTCAAGGCCTTTTGCATTCATATCTTTATAGAACCTCCTGTAAAAGCAGAGGCACATGTAAGGACACTGCTAAATTCAAACATGTTGCAGTTATTTCACAATTATCTCATGAAATTCATGTAGACAAAGGTAAACAAAGTACCTGCCTTTAACCTCCAACGTACAATGTCCTGAATTTCAAAACAAACTCACTGACCTGTTAGTTAAGGAATGCAGTGACTCACCTTATCTCCAAACAGCCAAGCTGCAGGGCCATCCCATCGCTGACCTTGCTGGCATGAAACTGCATGTAGTCGCTACGCACCTGTGATGAATCATTACCTGCTGTCATTCAGAGAAGTGGAAGCATCTACCCTAACTGAGTAATTCTCAAGTGTCATAACTGTTCATCTTTTTCAGACACTTTGTGAAAAGAAATCAATAGGGATCAAGCCAAAACAAGCTGAATGTGGAGCCACTTAAGTATGGTCCATCCATGGGTAATATTTCAAACTATCTAAAGGTATTAATTTCATCAAACTTATGCAGTTGTAAAACGTTTGGGTCTCTCCCACCATTATAACATTCAGGAAGGAGAAAGATTCTCTTTCTCAGGGATGACCATAGTTTAAAGATGCTTGTAGAACAGCGTCATTATCTGGAGGGTAAAAGATGGGCTGAAAGGCCAATGAGTGAGAGAGGAGCCCTTGCTAAAGAAGAAACTTGAAAGAGATTGGAGTTAGCAATGGTTTTAATTTCTGGCAACAAGTAATGTTCAATCGGAATAACTATTACCACATTTCTAGGTAAAGAGGGGAAGCTTGTAAGCATGAGACCATGTCCTTAACTGAAGCAAAGTGGTGGCTGCAGTGTATTGTTTTTTTTCTTGCCACAAGAGAGACTGGTGTACTTAAAAACTGATTTTAACATGAGCTTAGAGCATTGTGCGAACAAATTAAGGCAATTTTTCAAGTTCAGCCAAGATATTAAAGGTTTGGCTCAACCTTCTAAAAAAAATCTATCAGAATCTTAAACCATTTGTTGGCAAAGTTGAAAAAAAATGTGTGGTTCTTAGCAGGATAACCTAAAAACCTTACACAGCGACAGCAGTTCTGTTAGGAGAAAAGTATTGACTGAAGCTTGTAAAAGAATAGTCCAAATATTTGACCAAATTTCAGATCAGCTTACAAAGTCACTTTAGATAGTTATTTCATTCAAATCACACAGAAAGATTGGTTAAAAAGTTTCTAAAGAAACATGGACGAGCCCCACAATGATCTCCTCAAGGATGAGCATGTAACAAAACAACGTCACAGTCATACAGCATAAGAGCAGCTCTGTTTTCTCATCTACATCTGTCTTTAAACTGGAAAGTAGTTTCTGGATACATTAAATATAAATGCACTCAGAGAGAAAGAAAGAATTAGTGAATAGTTCCCAATTCCATACCTGCTGATAAAAATAAAGAAACGTGGATCTGTCCATTTGAAACTTCTCCAGGAAATTAACAGGAATGTATCTGATCCTTAGATCATACCTGCACAGAATAAAAGAAGAAACATACTAATATCAGAGATTTTCGGGAGTTATATCTTATGTACCATAGGAGACATTCATGCAAAAATAAGCCCCCAACAATCTTTGTTTACCTCCACTCAGCCTCCACATGATGACTCTCGTAGCGTTGCTCAACTTCACCAACAGTCAGATCTGGATGCAGCCAGTGAAGTTCCTCTGACTTTAAGTGCTTTAACATTAAACCATAACAGTTTGACAGTTCAACGTTTGGCCCCAATCGACCGCTGACCAGGATTGAGCGTATTATAGCCTGAGGGAACAAGGAAGACAATTGACAGTATTTTAAGACACATTTCCCTTTTGCATCATTTCTTTCATTTAAACTGAATGCAAAACACCTTCAGTTTTAACAGCAGGAGCAAAGTAAAGAGTGAAAAAGAAATCCAATTACATTTTTTTGGCCTAATCAGAATAATCAAACCAAAAGCATTTTGTAATCTTTACCATATTCTATTAGAATTTGTTAATAAAACAAATTTAGCAAAAGATTTCCATTCTCCTCTCCATCTTCCGACTCTTCTTCTATACCTGCGGTAGTTTCCTCTCACCTGGATTTTCCAGGAGCTGTCACATTTCACCAGCTTGAAGTTCTTCCCCAAGCTGCTGTTGGTGCAAAAGCACACTTTAAGGATTTTGACAGGTCCTCCCTCCCCAGTGAAGTCAGTTTCAGGGCTGGGGTCAGTGCTACTTTGTCTTGGGCTGGCTCCTTTCCAGGCCAAGGTATCACCTGACATCACCTCATACATCGTCACAACCAGGTTGCCGTCGTCACGCCCACATCATCCTTTGAACCAAATAGAGACAAAAAATTTCAGGGTGAAAACTGACAACTTTCTTAAATAAAATAAACTTATTTTCTCTCTTAACACTTCTTATGAGCTTTTTAAACACAAGGGACATTTTGAGTGCTGACTCATATTTGTAAATTGTTCTGTTTTAAGCTTGTAAGATTTGAGATGTGGAAAATCTTTACTGTCTTGCAATTTAAGGCAGCCTTTGAACATTTGTTTATCGAGGAACAAAATTTATCGAAATGATTAAATTAAAGAAAACTTGAGGTATTCAATACAGATAATGAAGTTAAAGAAAATAATCAGTAAAAGTGAACAAACGACTATGTCTGTGCGCAACAGGAATACTGTATCACTAGCAAGCATGTGGGTTTATTATTCTACTTCAGTCATGTTTCCTATGCTATACATTTGATCTTGAACCACATGGGAGCAATGATACATAAGTTTTGATTTAAAGATAGTCCGATTGCATTTTTCTCATAGTTTCCACCGCAAGCTTGGACCTGCATTATCTATCAACAAAGCTTTGGTAGACAAGCTAAAAACAGAACTCTTTAGGGAAAATCATGGCTTCAGTTGCACCTAAAGTTTTATCACTGATGAAACAGCATTAAGGAAGAAGCAGCTTGAGTCAAAATAACAGAATAACAGAATATGTACTATAATAAACCAGCAGCTGAGACAGAAAGGTTTACATTATGGCAGTTTTTTTTTTCTTTAAGAAAATCAAGAATACAGCCTTAAAATAAAAAAAATACAAGAATACAGCTAATTAAAAATTGCATCTAGAAACATTAATTGATCCTTCCAAAGTTTTACTTAACATCAACCTTTAGTTAGGTTGTGTTTCATTCATACATAAATGTTCGAATTTCTAAGCTCTATGTCTAATCAGATTAAATTTAATTCCTTAAGGATTCTATCGTTATTACTGCATGCAAAGAGCTTGTATAAAAAACATCCATGACCTCTGCTCAGATATCTGTTATTCAGGTAAGTTTGTTTTTATTTATAGAGCACCAATTTGCAACACACTCTCAAGAGACTTCACAGAGATAATTCAAATCAAACACAGACTACCGGTAGTTAAACGTTTTCTATTTAGGAAAGCCAGCTGATTGCATTGAGTCAATGACTGTGCAGGGTTCACTCCTCTTTGATGTGCATGTAGCGACAGTAGACATTTGCTTGATTTGTGTAGCTTACTACAGCATTCCCTCACACAGTGCATGCATGCAGCAACAGTGGAGACAGAAAGAGACCTTCAGCGAAACCAGGCCCATTGAAAGGGAAATCAGAAACCATCCAGAAGTGCTGAAAAAAGAGTTTCCTTTTCAGTTCAGTATTAATAACAATCTATTAATTCTCATAGACAAGTTTAATATGAATGACTTTATGTTTTTTTGTGAATTGTAGTTTCAGCATAAGTTAAGAAACTGTGTTGAAGTATTACATTAATCAAGAGGAGGCTTGATTAGATGTTAAAGGTTAAAAGCTGACTAATGTATACAGGTGCGTACTGAAGTGAAACTAGATGGGGTGCGGACAACATCGACTGTTGATGAACAACCTTCTGAGTAGAGATGGACCGATATGTTTTTTTTTTTAAGGCCAATCCTTAAAGCGATATTGCTTTTTCTTCCTCCATTTACATGATAAAAATGGCACACTGATAAATATTACACAACTCTTAGGTTAAAGATCCCATGGTATGGCTGCTGATTACACAAATAATTAATCTGATACTGATACAAGATTTGGTCAGAAATGTCAACCAGTCTATCTCTATTTCTGAGTTTAAAAGGTCATCTGTAGACCAAAGATTAGAGCTTCTAGATTCTGAGCATCTGACAGAAATGACTGATCTTTCATTTTGTTTTTGAGTAGAATACGATTTCTGAGGTCTGTATAGGAACATAATATTTAGAGAAAAAAAATGCAGTTTAGGGGAATCAGTAGCATGAAAACACATCTGATAAAGAAAAAAAAACTGTTAGAACTGGATAGAACAAACTGACAGCGAGGGTGTTTTTAAACAACGGGAAATTTTTTCATACCTCAACACATGGCTGAGATAAATGATGTCAAAATCCCTTTAAATATTAAACAATTCTCCAGACTGGTCCTTTGGAGGAGTACTTAGGGTGACTATTTGCTCTTCTACAGAAGGTCCTGGTACATTATTATTGGCAATTTAATTAAGACCTCTAACTACAGATCAACCGATACAGTTTCGTTTAAGGCCAATGCCAATTATTTTGACATAAGTATATATCACATACAAGTTGCATACAAGCATATGCGACTTGTATGTGATCTCCTGTGTGAACTGCATTCATAAAAATGAAATGTCCCGCATGCGCAGTAGAGTGACAACTAGGGCTGCAACAACGAATCGATAAAATCGATAAAAATCGACTTTTAAAAGCGTTGGCAACGAATTTAATCATCGATTAGTTGTGTCGCGCGATTAATGCGTCATCCGCCGCCGCCGTCAACCGGGGGAAGAAAAAAAAATATGGCGGAGCGAGTCAGCGCCGCAGTTGCAGTGTTGCCAACTCAGCGACTTTTCAGACCCCTCCAGCGACTATTTTTCAAAAAAGCGACTAGCGACAAATCTGGCGACTTTTTACGGTGTCACTGGCGGCTTTTGCCTGCCTTGGGGCGCCTCCCCCATCCCAACGCCTTTTTCCCTCTCCCACAGGAATCCCTCTCAGTCAGAGCCGCAGGATTTTAGTGAGGAGTTAACCCTCAGCGTCCAGACTGCAAATGAAGCGCGCATGCGCCGGGATTGACGGCGCAAATTGATCACAATAATTAAAATAGCCGGCGCTTTGTAAAGTGAAAAAAGTCGTAACATGCAACTTTTGTAAAAACAAATGAACATGGCACGGAAGCACCACTGTTATGACGCAGCACCTGAAAAGAAAACACGTTGGAGCCTTCAATGGCAGTGAAGAGAGCTGATCAGCAGGATGAGTAACCATGTTTGTTTCATTTTAAAGTGGGGAAACGTAACGTTAGTTTCTCAGGTAGCTCATCTGATGCTTTCCTTACCTTGTTAGTAGGTTACAGACAGTGATAAGGTTGGCTACTTATTTTACTTTTAATTTCATTTAAATTTGTTTAAGCAGCGTTTATATTTTCTTTATAAATAAATTAACTTGCAAATTATGAGGGCAAGGCTTTTAAAGTTTAAATCTTCTGGCAAAGATAAAGAAAAGAAGATCCTGCAATTTATGGAAGTAAAGCAGAACAAAATCCAGCAAGATCAGTAATATGTCAATTAATTATCTGCCACATTCCCATGTAAATATCTGTCTTTGGAGGATGTGTCATTTTTATTCCAAATACAATTTATAATTTGAATCACAGGGCTATTTTTATCTCTATGGTTCAGTATTTTCTCAAGCAGCAACTTTAACTGCTATACTTTCCTGTCTTAAAAGGCAGAACTCTTCTAGTCTAAAAAAACTCATTTGTTGAAATGGGGGGACCTATTGTTTGAACCCCTTAGGGGCTTTAAAAAACAAAAATGCCTGTCTCTTTTTGCGCTTTATGAAACAAAGTAGCCTATATTTTGTGGATGTACAGCTACATTTCTCATGTAAGTTTGCGTAGTTTTTACACAAACATTTATTTTTCATATTGCACCAGTACAGTTAATGAGCAACCTGTACTTGTGGGCTTGTTTGTTCTGTCTAAAATGTTTATTTTGGAATAAAGAGGTTAATATAAAAAAAAATTTTGTCCGATTCATCGATTAATCGAAAAAATAATCGGCCGATTCATCGATTTTTAAAATAATCGTTAGTTGCAGCCCTAGTGACAACAGAATTAGAAGTAAAGATAGATGGTAGTGCTGAAGCACATCTTGTAAGGTTACATTTAATTTCCAAACAGAGCTAGCACATTTCTTGGTAAACTAAAGCATTCAGGTTCTTAACAATAGAAGACTGCCATGTTGAACCTGGTTTTGCCAGAGGTTTCTTCCCAACAGGGAGTTTTTCCTCTCCACTGTCGCTCATGCTTGCTCATCATGGACAGGTTCTCTGAAACGGTGTTATCCAAGCTGGACTTCCATCTCCCAGGTCCCTGAGTGAAGCTCTAGTATTAGCCCACGCAGTCCACTGGATCTCACCATAAAGCTCAGCATACCTTCTCGCTAGCCAGCAGTCTACAGACTGACCAACATCCTCCATCTCCATTCCACCACCAGTTTCAGGCCTGGGGGGAAACAGCCCTATTCTTTACTCCTGTTCATCCATATAGATAAAAAATTAAGCTCTATGTTTTCTTCCGACGTCTGAGCACCAAAGAGTAATTGTTTCAATAAACTTCTCTCTTCGTTTTTTTTAGATTGAACTGTGCTTTGTGCTTTTAAGAGATCTAAAGCATTGAGGCTGAGTTGATGGTTTTTATATTTGCTTTCACATTGTTAACTTTAATTGTTGACCATGGAATGTTCATTAGTAAACACATAATCAGAGCTGGACTTATTGCACATGTAATTTCCCATCACAGTACCACACTGAAATCCACTGAGAGTCAACAATCGCTTCCTAAGTGTTTGTAGTAGCTGCTAATAGCTGCTAAATGCTAATTTTCATCTCCACTCTTCTTGAGCCCATCAGGGAACGAATCAACTGAATTCAATGGATGGTAAATTGAACATAGTATTGCTCATTTATATGTCTTAGCTTGTTTTGAGATATCTTAATCCGTTCTCCAGGGAATACCTCCTAGTAAATGCTAACAGAATAAATATGGCCCTTTATGTGTTTTGAACAGTTTATTTCCCATAAATTTTGTTTTATTGAAAACATTTTTTACTCTGCATTTTCTCTGCATCAGATGATGGCACAGTTACTGATAATTTACAACAGTCCATATTGAATGGGATGCATTTTATAATCAACATTTTCAGGAGTTTCTCAACAGTTTTGTCTGCATCCCACAAAAAAAACAACCCTATAAATGTTCCGTTCAACATCATTTTATCAGAAATTACTGAAAAAGACACATATCTAGTTGTCTACTTATACCGTAGTTAATTAATGTAGTTTTGTCTGGCATTCTTTAAAAATGTTTTACATCCTTACCTTGCCATAGTGTTTCAAAACACTAATTTCACAACCGTTTGTAAAACATGCATACAAACGTTTATTCAAAAGAGTTTTTCTATTTTCTTTTTATATACCGGTACTTAAAATACCCTACTGCAGGAAAAAGTTTAACCGTTTTTAAGTTCTTTTTTTGTAGACCTGTTATACGTTTTTAGTTTTTGTTATTGTATAGTTTTTATTTTGAATAGGTAGGCAAAAGAGTAAATGCAGTTCTGGACGTCTTGATACTGTTTCTGCTATTATCTAAGCTAAACAGAGTTTAACTTCCGAGGAATTAATGAATACATATACAAAAATGACTTTAAAGAGGCAATAGCAATTTTTTTAAAAGACCCACCCTCTCCACTTTAAAAAGAAATACACATGCACAACCCTGTACCTGCTGCCAAGAGGAAACACCTATTAAACGCATGTGAGAGCGTGCACAAGCCCATTCTCCATGTGCACGGTCTGTTTAAAAGTTGCTGTTCTAATCGCTTAAAGAAGCTTACTTACCAAATGAAGATTTGTCATTTTGACACTATGTTAGACTCACTACTGATAAGTGAAAATGGGGACTAGCACATAGGATGGCCTTACGTAAATACTGTTTATCACCAGACTGATTGAAAATTAGCAGGACCACCTATTTTGATGATCCACCTGTAAAAAGAACATCCTCCACTATAGCTTTAAGGTATTTCAAAAAGCAGATAAGGATTTCACCTACATGTGTCTGATTAATTTAATGTTAGTAATGATAGCTACTCAAACAGACTGACAATTCATCAACCTGGGCAGTGGCCTAAATTGTGTCAAAATGTAAATATATGAAACAAATCAGTTCTTCAACAAAGGGACCACATTCTGTTGTCACGTGCCACTGTTTCTCTCTTTGTAATGTGTTCATAATCCAAGAAGGGTTATTGTTGAAAACCGGACTGAACTATGAGGGCAGAGATCACAATTTATCATTCCTCCTAGTTCACTACATTCAGAAATAAAGTATTTCAATTCTTAACTCATTTATTTCAATAAACAGTGTAAGTTTATAGAGGAAAATATTTTTTTACAAGAAAATAGCTGTAAATCTGATTTTAACTGTAATATTATGCTAAATCAATGCAAACACTTTGTTTTCCTGCACTGAGGAAGATCCCTACAATATCCCAAATGTTTGTAGAGTCCATCATGGTAGGGAGGTCTAACCTTTATTCTGATAAATCCATTAAAACATCAACCTAGGTTAGATCATTAGTGCTTAAACTAGAAAGTAAAAACAAAACTGTAATGATATGGATTAAATATTTCATTCTGTCTTTATGCATTAGCTTATAGTACCAATGTTAATTTCACCAACTTAATCAGAACATGTTACAAAATAAAATTTAAAAATGCTGTTAGGCTCTAAAAAGTAAATGTTTAGTTTTTCAAACAGTTAAGATATATCTATGGTTTTTAAAATTTTAGAGGAACCAGAAAAAACTACCCTAAAGAGAATAGGTGTAATGTAGAGTAAACGAAAAAATAAACTACAATTTCTTCTCAAAATTAAAATTTAAATGACATGGTAGAGAACGCTATGGCTGCAACTAACAATTATCTTACTAAGTGATTAATCTGTTGATTATTTTTTCAATATTTATTATTATTGATTAATTAATATCTATTATTAATTTTAATTGATTATTAAATAGATAGCAAAAAAGTTGCTTAAATAAGATGTTTTTAAAGAATTAAACCAGAGAAACTAAATTGTTTCAACTTTTTCTGGATATAGCATATTGACAGGCTAAAAAGCTTTTTTATCGTAAATGCAAAATATTTATCAATCTACTTTTTATTCTGGTATAATTACTACTTAAAGTGAGTGGCTCTGTCAGCTTCAGGCATATTTTAGAGTTTCTATACTCCACCTAACGATTAATCGATCACTAATTAGTTCATGATTATTTCAATAATCGATTAATCCCGATTAATCCAATTAATTGTTTTAGCCCTAGTTTCAGGACAAAAATAATCTTTAACAATGTTTTGGAATTCGAACCAACATTTAACTATATCAAAAAGTTTGTGCTTAGTTCAAATACAAAATATGCACCACATCAATTGTTCTTCTCTTCTCTTCCACAAACCAGATAAAATAAATTTATCTCGACTTTTATCTATTTATTTCTTTGTTCTTTAACAAATTCATAGTGAACTTTCTGGTCTTAACCTCTCTTTCTGCCAGTAGCCTCTAAACATTTTGTAACATCTATTTCCAGACTAGAAATGCATCTCTGCAACCCTGACACCCTTACACTCTGACCACCTGGTTTAAACAAACATGGCAAGCTTGGTACCTGTAAATGATCATAAATCTTTATCGCAACACAATACAAACTCGCACCTTGGAATCGTCTTGGACTGTATCCTGAAGTCTAAAAATGCACAATTGAGAAAAGCAACAGTAAACTGTTATTAGACATGGAGTTACTTTAAGAGTCTCTCTGCCTGAAAACTTCCAGCTGCTCTTTGACTCAGCATGTTTAGAAACAATCTTGCAAAGACACGTACCTTGACCACGAGATTTCTGCCGATTACCCACCTTGCAACCAGGCTGGTGAAGAAAGAGCCTTTTAAATATCATTACTGAAGAGCTTCATGCTGTTAGGGCGCTGTGAGCGCACTGAGCTGTTTAAGTTTCGCTCTGGGCTCTCCCACTGCTGTTAGGTTGTGTTTTGTTAGCCTGGGGCCACAAATTCCCCAACAGGATCATGTAGGCGTGTTCTGGTGCGTGAGTGTATTCAACGAGGAAGCGAGAAGAAGGAAACAGACTGAGAGGATGAGAACAAAGCATGTTGCACCATCACCTGGGTTCAAGTGGCCCAACAGAGGGGTTTCAAAAAAACTGTTTAATTAAAATCTTTAAACCTTCCCCTAGAAGAATACAGGAAGAAGACTTGACTTAGAAATATATATTCCGCTAATACTACAAAAACTATTAAATGCTTTAAAGCAAATGTTCTGTTAAAATACTCTACATGCAGTTATTGCATCAATAGCTGGCATTCGTTAAATTTGTTTGTGAAAATTAAGATGGACTACAGGGTGGAATAGTTGGTAAGCAGTGCTGTCCTTTAGCAAGACAGTCATGGTTGAATTCCAGTCTGTGGTCTTTCTAGGTATAGCTTCCATGAGGTGTTTAACAGTCTTGTCCAAAGATAAAGACAATTTATTGGTAACACACAGGACAGATCAAAAGATGAGTTCAAATACTTCTCTAAGCCTCTTTAAAGTTTTATATGATCAAAACTAAAAATTAAAATTATCAACCAATTTATTAGTCAAGAGGTGTTATGGTTTCCCCTTCTTGACTTTGAGTTCTTAGTTTTCAGTTATCGAAGTAATTCTGTTTTGTTGATCTTTGGTTTATTTTCCATTTTGTGTTATATTCAAGCATTCTTAAGTTATGCTCTGTTGCCCCTTGTGCATGTCTCCTTTCCCTTAGCTCCCTTCTAGTCACTTCTATCCACACCTGCTCCATATCAACTGATTACGCTAGTCTTTGTTCTGTCTCCCATATATAATATTCCTGTGCAGTTTTTCATTGCTGGTTTCTTGTTGTTACATGGCTCTCCATGTCAGCTTTTTCCTGCCTGACATCTCCCGTTTTTTTGGGATGATTCTTGGATTTTGTTTCTATTGCCCTTTGACCACATTAAACCTACAAGAACTTATCTCTGCCTCCCTTATCTCTGCATTTGGGTCCTGAACCAACCTCCACCCATATGTTGACCAGATGAACTGAGAACATTCACAAAATTAGTCTTTAAAAAAGCTATAAAAACCATCCAAACTGTGTGGGGAACCGCAAATATCTCCCTTCTTAGTAATGATTTAACTTTGATCGACCAAAATTTTATGCGAAGCTAAGTTATAATTTCTTAGTTGAACCCAGGCCAGATTACAGCTATGGCTGAAAAATCAGGAAATAACTTAAATAAACATAGAGGAGACAGTAAAATATATTAAAATGGAACACACCATGTCTGAATTTAAAGAAATTAAAGAAAAGATGAGAAAAAAGACCAGATCTTTCAGTTGTTGTTTTTTTTAACTCCATCAAACCACAGTGAGAGCCAAAATCCAAAAATGGCAACAGCATGGGTCAGTAGACAGAAATTTCCCCAGTACAGGCCCCCTAAATTACACTGAGAGCACATGGACCAGTTCAAGAGGTAAAAAAAAAACAGCATGTATAGTACTGCAGGCCTCACCTGGCCAAGTTGAGGTCAGTGTTCATAATTCAGCAATAAGAAACAGACTAATGAGATGAGGACAAAACCTCTGTTGACCAACAAAACTCAAATGTCAATCTCAGATTTACCAAAAAGGTGGAACTTTTTAAAAGTTGTCAATCTGATAGCATTTTTCCGAAACTATCACAGTACTTTAAAGGAACATCATAGTGGCAGTAACGTATGGGTGTCCTGGTGTGATGATTTTGTGCTTTATGACTTGCCATAATTGATGGAACCATGAATTCTGCTTCCTAGCAATAAATGTTCCGGAGAATGTCAGGCCATAAGTTTGACCACAAGCTTATGTACAGATAATGTACGTTGTGTATGTTGAAGAACATGGGTTTAAATAGGACTGAGATGCTGTAGCCTGGCCTTACACAAGAAATGTGGTTGAACTGGATTAACTGCAAAAAAAGAAGAAAAAAAAAGGAAAAAAGAATAGGGTAGGGAAAAGGGCAAATACTTCAGGAAATTACAAGCTCCACATGTCGACATAAAAGTCTCCTGCAGGGTGCTGGAATTTCAGAATAATCCCAGTATAAAACATTTTATCATTCTCATTAATTAATGTCTAATCAGCTTTATAGATATGCATACAACCATTTGCTACAGTTTGGACCTGCATAAACATCTCTTAATACATAATGTACATTGACACATGTTGATTTCTCTAAATGGCAATATGCTAGATCAGACACCTCTCCTTGTGACCAGAAGTGAGTAAAACTGAACCTAAACCATCTTTTTTTATATATTCTTATGTTTTATATTGTTTCCAGTATGAGGCATAAACATTAACATTGTCTCTAATAACATATAGCCTACATGGATAGTTTTTATTTATTTGTTTGTTTTTTTATTAGGTAATTATTCTTAAAACAATGGTATATGGTTTATACATGCATTAGAAACAGAAGATCTGAACTCAGAATTCCTGGTGTGCATCAGTGTGTTTATGGTTATTTGCATGGGTTATAGTTGAAGTGTTTTAAGCTCATTTAAAAGTAAATCTTACTGTTCAGAATGTTATTGTGGTGTGGTTTACTTTTCAGTTTAAATTTCAAGACATTTACTGAGTTCGAATTCATGGGCTGGGTCCTCCGAAGGCCAGATTCGTAGGCCAATTACGTCATAGCACAGCGCCGAGGACTGTTTGGATTGCAAGACTCCTCGTTATGCGGCCTACAAATGCGTCTTTCTTTTTCCTCGTTTGAAGGACGGGTTCGGTGTATCCTACGTTACCCTTGGATATCCCGTGATTCATTGCTAGTCCAAGCAAGCTGTCCGCTCCATGCTCAGAGGAAAAAGGTACTTGGCGCCAAACAGTGGTGAATATTGGAAGTGCAGTTTATTCTAATACAAGTATGTGAATAGTTCCGTCTGAAATAAATGAAAATAGTTTCTTAAATGGTTATTAAGGGAGATATGTGGCGGGTAATGTTTGTTTTATCGAAAGATTTTTATCTGTTACTGTGTAAATGGTTTTAGCTGTAATTTAAGGACAGATTCTAATATATCTGTAGTGTGATTTTCATTTTTATTGCTATTTTCCATCTGCTTAAAGTATTTTTTGTTGTTGAATATAAGAGATTTGCAGAGATATTTTTATGCATACATTGCTTAGATTCACTCATATCTTTCTAAAGCATTTATGTCATAATATTTGCTTTTATTTGCTCATGCTCCACTCATGTCGTAACCTTTATTCCACTCTGTATTCTCATGAGTGTAGTCTTTGTTCACTTTACAAAAAGTAACAGTAGCAAAAAATTCAGTTTTCATTCTTTTCCTGCTTTTTGTGTCAATTCCCACGGTTGCTAATCAACAGAGCGTATGGGCGGTGAAAGCCGTGGAATTATGTACCTGTTTGAATCCACAGCCAAAACACTTCTGGTCTCCTTATTTTCACGGAGCGTGAAGGATCCAGTCCAGATAGACTGGGTCCTTGAAGGATGCAGCCTTTGAAACTGAATACACACAATTCAACTTCCTGTCAAATTTTCTAAAGTTATTTCTGAGTCAAGTTCGTCCTCTGCAGCCCCCCCACCCCGCCTCCACCAGTCTGACTACTGCAAATCTGCCACATATTATGATGGAGAACAAAAATACATGGCTTCAAGAAAATAATGTTCCAGCAAATCCTTCCTTTGCATCTGATACAGTAGTATATGCAAAATTTAATTAAGAGCTAATTAAGAGCTACGTAAATTGTTTTCTGTTTGTTTTTGTTAACAATTTAGGATCAGATAAGGAACATGCCCATAAGTCTCCTAAATCAGCAATTCTCTTTTTTTATGTAACTAGCAGCTAAAACATTTTTTTAACGCCTTGCATAGTGATCCAGGCAACAGTGTTCAAAGTGAGATCCTTGCATGACTGCATGAACAATATGATCTGTTGGTGAGCCTTGTTGGGTTTTCAGTTCTTATTTCTGCAGCATGGTCATCTGCCTCTTTAGTTTTGCAATGTATTATTTAGAAAGCACACATTTTTTCAGAGATGGGTTAAAATAAGTAAAACACTTACCTAACGTCTTTACAAGTAGTTTTAATTTGCACACAATTTGGTTACAAATAAAATCAAATAGGGTTAAGTTAACAAAGCTTGACATCTGAGACCATTCATGGGCTTTCTCGAAAACTAAGTTCACTGCAAACTTTTGCAAAGTAACATTAAGCTGTTTTTGTTCTGATGTTAATGGCTTTCTTTTAGCTTTATTAGTTTTTTCCATTTAAACTCAAGCTTGGCACACAAGGCCCTCATGTATCACTCTCTAGCGGACACTTGTAATGGTAAAAACTGTCCACTACGAAGAGTTTTTTTTCCATCTATTCGGCTGAAGTGGTATGAAGTAACTCTTTCAACATTTCTTTGCTGCAGAGCCGTTACAGGACATTAAGTGTGAATATCCATCAGCCAGACTTTTTGTATAGATAAAACTGTGCATACTTTGTGTCCTCTGTCCTTGAACAGCCTTGCTGTACTGAAACATGAGGGGAACTGTGACAGATGAAAGTAAAATTCCTTAGGGGATGGGGAAGAGGCAGGAACATTAAACAAGACAGCACTTGAGGAAAGAGGAAGCTCATGTATACAACATTCAGCACAGCTTGTATTTGACCAATACTAGCAACACACACACAACTAGGGGACACTTGTGTAGCGTTTAACAGATGTTTTAACTAGCTTTGAGCTAACTATTCCATCCTATCTCAGACTGTAGTTTGAGGCCATGTGATAAAGTGAAGGGTGAGACATAAATTGATGAAACTTCTTCATTTTATCTTTAACTAAACTCAACTGCGGTTAGGCGTATAACAGTAAAAGGCAGCTGTCCACAATTTAATATCAAAGTGTTTTAGTTTCCGTCTAAAGAATATATCCTTTACATCTTTATGTTATTTTCAATTATGTATTACATTGCAAAAATGTATACAATTAAATTAATATA